ATCTAAAACAAACTATATTAATCGTCATAAAATAATAAATCACACATTTTCACCATAAAACACATACACTAACCTCAAAATAGCAATAAATTTTTTTAAAAATTTGTTAAATGTTGCGTTACGCATATTCCAATAAATTCAACCATCGATTTATGTGCTTTACGTTTTTTAAATGATGATATAGATTGCACAGAAAATTTATAGAGTCACACAATTAACGCAAAATATCATCGAAAAGCAATAAAATGCATTAGAAAGCAATAAAAGACATTAAAAATTGCGAAAGCATGTAAAATTAAAATTTTGAATTATTACTGCTGAAATGTAAATAAATAGATGGAAAATTATTTGCATGTCGAGCATATAAAGTATCTACATTCTAATTTCTTTATCTCATAAAAATCTCAACACTTGATGATAGCATGTCTCCATATGCGTATAGAAAGACATTGCATGCAATATATTTATGATAATTTAATGTCGATCTCAATATTTTATTTTTAATGGGGTCGCTTTATGGCTTTTCTCCCTCTACTGTCGCTTCCTTTTCTCCTTTCTCTCTTTTTTTCTATGCGACATATATGTAATAATAATGTATCATCTCAAAAGATGTAAATTATTGGGCTTTAGGAACATTTTGAATAGATTTTGAAAATAAAGAGAATGGTAAAGGAGTTGGAATAGCAAAACAAAAAAGATGCAGCGCTTAAAAGTAACGCGACGACTTTTTTTGAGTTTTAAATTTAAGCAATAACTTTGTTTGAGTTCAAAAAATGAAGCATCAACTTACTTTAATTTGAACTTTGATGCAACGACTAATTTAGAGCATCAAAACCTAAGCAAAGACTTTAAATTAAAACAGCAACTTTAAGTTAAAGCAACAACTTACTTTGAGCCTTAAAAATGATGCAACGATTTAAAAGTAAAGCAATGACTCACTCTGAGCTTTTAAAGTAATGCAATGACTCACTTTGAGCTTAAAAAATAAAGCAATGACTCACTTTGAGCCAAAAAAACTAAAGCGATGACTTACTTTAAACCTTAAAAATTAAAGCAACGACTTTAAAATAAAGCAATGTCTTTTAAAAAATTTCAAACCGTCGCTAATATTCAAATTGCAACCCCTATATAGCCGATACGACCACCCAACCCCCTATTGTCCCCAATACAATCATTCCTTTTCATACATCCAAAAAAACTCAATTCAACTACATAAATATGGATATTTATGAAAATAATATAAATAATGATATTTTCTATGAGATAAATGGACTCTCGCATTCTATATGCACTCACTTACTTAGCCGAAATCCACTAACTCTTATTTTCCCTTTCACATACAATGTCGAAGTTCTGTAGAACAATTTTATGACATTAGTGAACCCCATAGAGACATTTATTTTAAAAAATATATAAATAAAAATTATGTATAATGGACATTAAATTGAACTTTTACTCATAATATTATAATCTTATAAATAAAATAGCTATTAGAAATAAATAACGAGATTGAGTTCGATGGGAAGAGGACAGAAGAAAAAGGAGTAAAATTTGTGTTTTATGGATGCATTGTTGTGATTATCATTGGCAATATTGACTCAATTTTGTAACATTTTAAAGTAAGTTTTATCCAAAAATTCATCAATCAAATCCTGAATAAAGCAAGTCCGAATGCCATAAATATCCCCATACAATCAATTAACAAACGATAATTATCATTTTTATGTCCTTTTTATAACTATTCACTAAATGGACATTTAGTTTAGTGTTTATTACTGTCATCTTGTAGAACATTCAATTGAGTGCCTGCATGAAGTTTTTAGGTAAAAGGGCAAAATAACTGACAGGGATTTTTAATGACCCCTGGAGATTGCATGATTATCAAGCTGGTTTTTCATCTATTTTAATATAAACAGGAAAAAGGCCAATGCTTCAGCTCATCCTCACTCCTCTTTTCAGTTTTTATGGACAGTCCATAAAGTATTTATTGAATGAATTAAAGGAGCAGCTAATGAGTATGTTGAGTACATAATAAACCAAAGGGCCATAAAAAATTCTTAATAATATGACAAAATAATTACAGAGGAATAAAAAGTTCATTAATCTTTCAGAGAAAGTTGTACATGGGTTGAGTATCTGCTAGATTTTGGATTCGTGAAATAATCGAATATAAAAGATAAATTTCTATAACAATTTAAAAAAATTATAAAATTATTTTGAAAATTTTTAAAAAATGTAAAAAATTGAAAATTTTTAAAAATGTAAAAAATTGAAAATTTTTAAAAATGTAAAAAATTCAAAGAAATTCAAAAAAATTTAAATAAATTCAAAACAATTCAAAAAGTATTCACAAAATTTAAAAAAAATCAAAAAAAAACATTCAAAAAATTTTCGAAAAAAATCCAAAAAGTTTAAAAATTAATAATCAAAAATTTTAAATTCAGCAGTCCCAACCCCACCAGCAATACTGTTGCTCTCATTCAGAAAACTGTTGAACAAAAAAGCTAAACGTTAACGATGACGAAAGTGATGATTAGCATATCCCACCCTTATTGTTGAACATGAGACACCTCAAAAATTAAATACCTTCTTCGTCGGTTGGCTTATGTCGTTCAACTAGCATATTTGATTAATAAATGATCATTTTTCAATTGTTGTCTCGAAAACTTTCCCATGCTAAGTCGTCTCACAATAATAGCAAAATCTAGTTTCAGTAAAAAATTTGACAAATGAGCGATTAATGAGCTGTAAATGAGATTGATATGAACGAGTTTTGGGAAGAAATTTACTAGGTGTGTAGTTTGGTGTCAAGTTAGGGGTTCTTTATTGTGACTTGTCATGAAATCAATTTAAGGAGTAGTTTTATCATAATTGGAAGGTAATTGGTGTGCAACTATGATTTGAGGATGAGTACAGCGCTAGTTAAATATATTTTGGCTATTTGATGTTCCACATTAGGACCTCAAATGACTCATACTTCAATATCTCAAGCACGTTCATTCAAACCTCCATAAAAATTAAAATTCACAATTTAAAAACTATAACAAATTATTCAAGTCAGAAAATTATCGCCAGAAATTTCAACTTGACTGGAACTGAAAGAACCAAGTTGTTCCTAAATTTATTGCTTCCTAAGACACCCGCTGCTTTATTCACAATTGAATAAAATTGAAGAACGCGTAATTAATTTTCTCTTCATTGCGAGGCACATTTTTAATATATTTCACGAAATATAAAATATAAAAATAAAATTCAAATCAAAAAAGTGTGTACTGTGCGATTATCATACCTTCCATTCATTCAGCTCACAGTTAACATATTTTTTTTAACTGAGGGGTTACGATTTCTTTTTAATAATAATTCGAGTAATTCTAATTTGAATCAAAATGGGAACATGAGATGCAATCAAAAAATTCTTACAGGAAAAAGAAATTTCTTTTATAAATTTTATATTGAAGATCACAATGGGAAACTTAAGACATTTTAGGAGTCTGTTCTACTTCACAGTTTTTTTTTTCAAACACATAATTTAGCATAAACAATTACTTGACATTTTTACATCAAAATAATTTTTTTCGCTCGAAGTTGACTCGAGATTTTCATTGATTTTGTATGGCGGAGTCGACTTCGAGCTCTGTGTTAAAATATATGATTTCAAAAAAGTGCATATAATCCCAACGATACAGCATATTAGCTATGGAAAACGTTGGAAAAACTTATAAAAAATTAAAAAAAATACAAATCAACATTACAACTGCCTTATTCATCATAAAAAATATCTAGTCAACTTTATTGAGTTGGATTTTGTTCAATTCTATCGTCAAGATATTAATTACTGCTGATTTTATTAATTTGTGTCTAATTCTAATATATTTGCAATCTAATGCAGATTTATTAATTAAAAGACCAAAAATGTTATAATCTGAACGTTTTGTTTGATTTTGCAATTAATATAATGCCTTCAAAACTGAATAAAACGAGTACGATTTTAACACAATCTAAAATAAATGAAAAAAATATTTTTGAGTATATTGAAGGTTAAAAAAATTATATTTGAAGTCTTTATGAAGACAAAAATTGTAATCACCCATTGAAAAATCTCCAAAGACATGTCAAAAAATTTCCAAGCATTTATAGGTTGAGCTTTTTGGACTCGCGTCATGACTTGAAGTAAAAGTTGTCGAAATTTTTTACTTCCCTCGAACCATTCGGAGTTGTAAGCTGATGTTAAAATCGACATTGATGAGCTACATTAAAAAAAATGTTATTTTGAATCATTTTTCAAAGATTTTCATCAAACTTAAATGGCAACTTACTCGAGAAGTTGTTGAGAAAAATAGCATTGGATGAAAATTTGTGTAGTGATTGTGATCGGAAACAAAAAGAATTTTGCAATAAAAAATCCACTAATGCCTGACTAAATAAGTTATAAAAAAATAAACTTAGCGAATTTAAACATTTTTTTTGAAATATTTAAATTTGCTCACCACGGAAAGAAAACTAGATAAGCATATGATTAATATTGATCCACAGGAATTGATAAGCAATAATTCTGAAAAAATAAAACTAATGTCTTCGGATGCATCAATTAGTTCTTGATGGATGTCAATAAGCTTCTTAAGCTCTTTTGTAGCTTCTTCTTCGCCATAAATCATGTCAATTTCACTCATAACTTGACCAAGTATATCAAACTCCATTGAAAGTATTTGAGTTAATATTGCAAAAAATAAGTCTGTACACATGTAGATGCAAACTGTAAGGAATAAAGTCCAGCTTTCGAATATCCATATCAGCATATAAACGAATGGTTGAAATTGATCAAAAGGCAAAACAAAAGTAAACATTGTCTTCCATTCTACTGCTTTTGAACTTATAACTCCATAAATTTGATGCTCAAAAGGAAACAGAATTAAATGCAAAACTACACTTCCAAATATGACATGATAAATTGTCTCAAATTGCTTTATCTTATTTAAATATTTAGGAACCTTAAATCTTAGCTAATCAACACCAAAGTACGGAAAGTGTCTGTCAAGTTTTTCGATAACTTCATCGATTTTTGCACGCTTGTAATGAAAAATGATAAATAATTTGCTTCCAGCTATTACATAACCTCCAAAAACCAAAACGTTTTCCATCGTGACGTGAAAAGATTTTTGCTGAATGGACAAAACAAATGAAATTAGTTCTGTCATCAAAATGACAATGATTGCAACATGCAAAGCAAAGCTATTAAACTTGAGCCATTTATTTGATGGAGTAATGTCATTTTTCAAAAATGTATAGCCCAAAACTTTTGCTGGTCTTTCACATCGAAAGAAATCCTTGAACATGATGTATTGCGAAATCTTTTGTTTTTTACCAAATTTTAACTTTAGGAACTTTTCAAAGTCTTGAAAATCTTTAGCAATTTTATTTGCAATATTTTGCATTTTTTTTTTTAATTTTTACTTCCGTTCTTTTCTAGGTTTACTACTGTAATGAAAGGAACATTAGTTTGCGAAATTGCTTGCAAAATAACACGAGCAAAAATGATGAAAAATTCATCGCAACTTAGTTATTAAAGGACGCAATATTGCACCTGCTTATGTTGTGCCTTGCTTAGATGCTTCATAAAAAGAATAGTAATTAATTATTTAAAGTATAAAAAACAATAAAATAAGTTGGAAGTCAGACTATTAATAAGATCGATATAATTTTAAATATTGAGAGCCTTTTATATTTCAAAAAATCAAGGATACTTTATCAATCGTGAGAATTTAGACTCTATCGGTTAAGTTTATTTATTTTTCCATTTAATTGTATTTACTGCTTTATGGAAAATATTACTATGCGGCAAGATGAATGTTAATCATCGACATTTATCTTAATCTTTAGACTTTCTAACTCATTCCTTGATCCAACATTGTCTACATATTTAACAATTGCATATTCTAATACATCATTCTATCGAATGACTTAAATATCTTCATTCAAAAACCTTTAAGCAGAGTTGGGTTACAGGCACATGTGCTCAGCTGAAAACCTTACAATTCCTTGATAATTTGTGATGTTTTGTTCGATGAACCTAATACTAATATTATCAAGGAAATGTACGGTTCTCACCTGTGCACAGGTGCCTGTGTCGCAACCCTGACTTTAATGATATTAACAGATATTAATTTCTTAACTTGAACTATTTTTTTTCGCAAACTTTTCCAAATAGTTCTGAAAGATCAACAACATCTACAAATGAAATTAGTTATTTTCAAGAACGGTGCATTTTATTCCATTGTTTCAAAAATCGAATGTTTTTAAAATTATAATACAACTAGAATATTTTTTAATAAGGTTTGATGTTGATTTCCATTAAGTCAATATAATGTTGAAGCTTGCATTTGTCGTATAGACTATGATTCATATAAAGCTTGCAGAACAGAAAAATACGAATACGATGTCGAAATAATCTGTTAAAGTTTGTAAAAACATATGATTGAAAGATTTAAAAAACTTTAAATAGCTAATTAGGGGCCGTTCATTTATGACGTCCAGGGGGGGGGGGGAAGGGGGTCAGAAAGAAAAGAACAATAGAAATTCCTGGAAATCCATTGTTCGTTTTTGAAAAATGACCGTTAATTTCGGACGTAATAATTAAACGGCCCCTTACCCATTGAAGGATTTCCAAAGACATGTCAAAGAACTTCCAAGCATTTATACTTTGAGGTTTTTGGACTCGCGTCATGACTTGAAGTACGAGTTGACGATATTCATTGCTGCCTTCATACCATTCTGAATAAAAAGCTGATGTTAAGATCGATAATGATGAGCTATTTAACAGCATAGAATTAAGATGAAAAATTTATTCAATTTAATAATTACAACTTACTCAAAGAGTTGCTGGGAAAAATAGCACTGGATGAATATTTGTAAAAAAACGATAATTGGATACATGGAGTTTTTTACGATGAAATATCCGCTGACTCCTGACTTATTAAAAAATAATAATCAGTTATGATTGATTGACTAGACTTTAAAATAAATATTGCCTACCACTGATACTAATACATAGTACTAATATTGATGCAAACGAATTGATAAGCAATAATCCTGAGAAGATATCGCTAATTTTTTCAGACACTTCAATTAATTCTTGATGAATGCCAATAAGTTTCTTTAGTTCCTTTAATGCTTTCTCGTCACTATGAATCATGTCAATAGCACTGATAACTTGACCAAGAATGTCAAACTCCATTGATAGAATTAGAGTTAAACTTGCAAATATCAAGTCAGTGCAGATAAAGATGAAGCAAGTAAACATTAAAATCCAGGTTTCAGATATCCGCATGAAAATGTATATAGCTGGTTGAAATTGATCAAAAGGTAGAATCATAGTCAAAACAGTTTCCCATTCTACAGCTTCCGATCTTATGAATCCATAGATTTGATGCTCAAATGGGAAAAAAGTTACATGCCAAAGTGAAAATAAGAATAAACTGCACTGAATTTTTTCAAATAACTTTACTTCATTTAAATATTTCTGAACTTTAAATATTAGCTGATCAACTCCAAAATGTGGAAAATGCTTGTCCAATGTTTCAATTACGTCATCAATTTTATCTCGCTTGTAATGAAAAATTATGAAAAGTTTTCCTGCTGCAATGACGTAACCACCGAGAATCATAACATTTTCCATCGTGACGAAGAATGATTTTTGCTGCACTGACATAATTATTGAAATCATTTGTGCCAAGAAAATGATAACAACTGCAGGATACAAAATTAAACTATTTAATTTTAGCCACTTGTTCGGTGGAGTGATCTCGTCTTTTAAAAATGTAAATCCCAAAATTTTTGCTAATTTCTCAAAGCGTAAGAAGTCTTGAAATAAAAGGAACTTCGAAACTGATTGTTTCCTCACAAATCTAAATTTTAAGTATTTTTCAAAATCCTGAAATCCTTTTTGAGTTTTATTTGAAATGTTTTGCATTTCTTCAAGTTTAACTTCCGTTCACTTTTAGGACTGTTATGAAAGGAATTAACTTGTTAACAACTTGACAATAGCAAAATATGTTTAAAAATTGATTGAAATCGATTTAATAGCGTTTAAAACTTCAAATGCATTAATTGAAGAAGTTTCAGTTTTACTTCAACTGCAAATTGTAAATAATAGAACCATTGTCAGCAAGGCAATTAATACGATCAATAAGAGTTGCTTTCTTTCTACAAGCTGAGTTTGGATTCTAAATCTTGTTACTAAGTATTAAGTCTTTAATAATTTAATATCCTTACATTCCAACATTTCAATCGACCATCGTTTTTATCATAAAATGCGCTCTTCTTTCTCACAGTTTTTAAATTTTTAATGATTTTCTATTATGCATCATTTTCTATACTTCAAGATTCTTTAAAGAATTCCACTAACAAGCAAAAGACGAGAAGATTGAAGTGTGATTATGAATAGATGTGCTGTAATTTAGGGCCACAAATTAGACAAAAGGAACAAATGATTATGATGATCTCCATCATCTTCATCTCCCTTTATACACTCATAAACATTTTTTTTTTTGATGTTTGAAATATGAGATTTGTAATTGCGAAGTAGGTATTATTCACTCAATGTACAGCTAGAAATGTGGCATATGAGACGGAAATATTGACGGGTGTTTAAATCCCGTTAGATGCGTAAATATGATTAGCATACTTCTGTTTCGTGTTGAGCCTTGTGTTTTATTTTTTCATAAATTATTCATCAATCATTTCATAAGCTGATTTGCTTTTGTGATTTTAAGGCATTTTTTTATGAATGAGGAGTTTTTTTTGTGAATTATTAAAAAGGAATTATTGAATGGATCGGAAATCAATTGGATTTTTTTTTTATGAAGGCTGGATGATAATGAAAAATGATGAATTGAAGCTTAACTGGAGCTACGTCTCACTTCGTTTACAAGAAATCAAGCAATGCTTTAGTTTTTGATAAATCATAAATTAATGATGAAGCGTTGCTTCATTTAAACAATTCAAATGAAGCCACACTTTATTCAACTGACTCAAATGAAGCTATGCTTTATTTTATGGACATAAATAAAGCTGTGATTCACTTTTCCGACTTAGGTGAAGCAACACTTTATTTTATCGACACGAATAAAGCCATGCTTTATATTTCAGACTCAAATGAATCTTCTCAATTAATATTCATAAAGCAAATCTTTAACAAAAATGTCTTCAAAATTCCTCAAAAAATTTCCCATTCTTCTCATCCTCAAATCAACAGCCAAAAGTCATGCATCTTCTTCAAATTTCCAATTCACACGTCAATCGACTTATTAATGATTCCGTCACACACTCTAAATTGACGAGAAATTATGCATTATTCCAATACATTATGCATTGTATACATTGTATTATCAGATGACAATCAAATCATTGTTGCATGTTCTTTCCATAAGTTTTCAATAAAAAAAATATATTTCAGAATCTATCACGAGGGTAAATAAATCAATTTCTCGCGATTGTAATGTGATGATTGAAAAAATATTTCTATTTAAATTTTTTTAGACAAATGAATGAACATCGACGAGGTATTAAAGTGCTTGATGTTGCTGATTTACAATGCTTCTTTGTGTCTGGGATTTAAGATCACAGAAAAAAAAGAAGGATGGAAGGAGAAAATCTTATGCATTTATTTAAATAAATTGAAAGTTTGAGGATTTTTGAGAACATTTTTGGGATTTTCGCGCATTTTAAAGAAATTAATGAGTCGTTGCTTAATGGTTTTTGGTCTTTTTTAAAGTCGTCGCTTCATTTTTGACTCTTTTTAATTCGCTGCTTCAATTTTGGACTCGTTTTAAGTCGCCGCTTCAGTTTTTGGACACTTTTTAATCTTCGCTTCTTCGGACTCTTTTAAGTCTTTGCTATCGCCAAACATGCTCAATATGAACATCAAACTCCTTTCAACCCTAAAAATCACGAACAAAAAAACTCATGTTGCACACAGGAAGGATCAAATAAGAGAAATTTCAATTTTTAAAGTGAATAGTCACAGACAAAAAAGAATGAAAAAATAAAATCAGATCAGGTATACGAAATGACTTCAGTATTGTATATATGATGAAAAATGACATCATCCGTTAATGCGACTGGATCCAAAAGAAAGGATATAAAGCATCTTTTCTCCTTTGTCGCTGACTTATTTTTTTTTTGCAAGCTGAATCCTCTTTAAATGAGATGATAGAAGAGAAACGATACGCGCAATACGGTACGGTTGATGAGAAATAGTAAAACATCATTAATCAGACTTTTCTTTTACATATTGAGTATATTAAATCTTTTGAGAGTAAGTGAGTGGGTTTTGAGGATCAAAAAGGCAGACGTGAAATGGAAAATTTGAATATTTTAGAAAGAAATCATGTAAGGATCTACACATGTTGTTTTGACATTAGCTTAATAAATTAATCAGAACCTTTATGCCAATTTCAACAAGAAAATGACAAATTATGTCTAAATTACCCTTCAAAACTCTTCATTGAACCTCCTTTAACCTTTCAAAACGCTCACAACAAACCTTAAAATATTCAGCAAAAAAAAATCTATTTAAAAGAGCGTAATTTCCGTTCTCATGATTGCAAACATTGCACAGGTTTAGAATAAATTTATGTAAATTACTTCCATAAATAATGACAAGACACACTAGTAGATTTAATGGGAATTTAAAAAAAACTTTCAAGTACTCAGTGCATTACAATAGGAATTGTTTTTTTTTTTTATAAGAATCTTTAAATGGGTTATTTTGAAAAGAAATTCAAGTTCTTTAATGCACACGCAAAAAATATAATTTTGTTTTGTCTCATTTTTCATATTTCTTTTTTCAAATCTATTCAAAGTCTGATTAGCGTAAAAGATGAGTTTAATGTCCTTTTTTTGTTGACAAAGGAACTTCCATTTTTGGAAAATAGTTCTTATGAGAAAATTGAAGATTCAGGTTTTTGAAGAGGAACTGGATATCCTTGGGGTAAGTTTTGTCAGATTTTATTATGAAAATTAAAATGTTTTTGTTTTTTGTTTTTCTTTCTTATTTTGAATTTGACTTTTATAAATATTTCAAAATATTTTTTTAAATTTTTTCACCAATATAAAAATTAAAAAAATTATTTTTCAAATGTTTTAATTCTTCAAATGTTATAAAATTTCATTTTAAGTTTTTTTTAAATTTCTAGCTATTTTTATGATTTTAATTGATTTTTTCAATTTTTAAAAATCTAAAAATAATTTGATTCATTTTTGGAAAATCGATAAAATTTGTTCTCAAGGAACATTTACCAAAAAAAAGAAACTAAGTTAAGGATGTAAATAACAATAAACAATTTTTTTTCTTATTGCAACAAAAAAAATCCCTGAAAATATTTTCCTATCCCTAAAAAGGGGTTAAACTGATTTTTTTTGCATTCTATTCATCCCAACCCTCTTTTTTTTATTTTATTCAATTCCAGCAATGTGTGTAAAAAACTCTCTTTTATAGAAAAAAAAACTGTGAAATAGAAAAAAATATCGAAAGGTAAGTCTTATGAGAAGTTTTGAATTGATAACTTGCCAACATCTAAATCCTTATTTACAGATATACACACACGTGAATTATGATCCGTAATGATGATGATGATGATGTGAAGCTGATGCGTGGAATTATGTGTGAGAACGAGCAGTGATTTTGGAGGGAATAAGTTTTTTGTCATTTTGAGATTTTTGCATGGATTTTATGAATGATTTTTGAGATTTTTGAATTTTAAAAAATGTTTATTTGAGTGAAAATTAAGAATATTTTTGAGAAATTCAGCAAAATTATTTCAATGAAATTTAAATCCTTACAAACTCACCAGCCATCCTACAACCCAATTTAACTTCAATAACAGAAATTCAATCCAATCAAATTTTTTCATTCCTTTCAAACGGTTTTTTGTGCATTTTATAATATCCGACTACACAATTGTAGCAGCACAAAATCTGTCCCTCACAAAAACATTTTTAATTTCAACCGTTTATCGCAATTTGAGACGGTAATCGTGCATACAGCACTCCTTGACAACGACATCGACAAAAAAAAATCTGTCATATTCGAATAATCGCCACAAACATTTCTATTCATTAAAATTGGAAAGTAATGAAAAAAAAAATCATGAGCAAAAAAAATTTGATGAAGTGCCTTAATCTCCTCTAAATATTCAATCTAAAAAAATAATTTTCAGGTCCCAAACAGAATGCATTTGAAGTTTTTTTTGCTATTTGAGAAGATTAACCGCGCCATTTCCAAACAAGACACACACAAAAAAATTCTTAATCGAAAAATAATTAGAAAAAGAGACATCAGCAAAAAAAAATAATTTAAATGAATATAAAAAGGCGACCGACCATAGGAGAGAATTAAGAGTGTCACAAAAGGAAGCCTGGATGAGATTACCATGTTGAGGGGCACTCGATTCACTTTTAAGGACGAAGATGGAATTTTATAAACGAAGATTTGTTCATTAATTAAAACAAATTCATCAAATAAAGGAAGGAAGAAGAGAGAATGTTAAGTTGGGAGGGGTTTAATGGACAGCGATGCAGTTACATTCTCCTTTCTTGTTTGTTATTCACCCAGATCTCCTTTTCTTACTTTCGATAAGTTGTAAGTTGTGCCATAGATACCTTTCAAGTTTGGAGTACAACTAAGTCTTTACAAGGGTGCAGTAAGGAACCTAAGGCATACATCAAATTTAAATTCAGAGCGTTATGAATTACCAATCGAGTCTAGCAACCCAAACTACTCTCCAAACCGACTCAAACCCCTAAAAAATGTCACCAAACAATACATAAAGACAGAAAGCATTTAATTTTAATTAAATCGTAAATAGCAACAGCACCAGAAACAAAATCAACAGTTCTCAACGTGAATCAATGTCACAAATAACCTCGCCCATTTCACCAAAAAAAAAGTGCTCGCACATCTAAATGCATGCACATATTCATGGATGATAATAAGATACTTCCACTAATCGAGTTAATCACTTGCTGTCTAATTAAGATTTATGTTTTATTCGATCGACGATACATCAATGGATAAATTACTTTCTCATTCAGAGGATGCAGAGGAAAGTATGTTAAGGGGAGAAACTTTAATGTTTCTGTTTGGTGCAATTGTGTCGTCGTTCAGCAAATAAAATGTTTATATAGTGAAACATGATTAATGACCAACTTATTGCTACTTTTTTTGAGTCAATTTATAATGTGCCCTTTAGGTTGATTTTGGTAGGATTTTGGTTTTTTCAAATTTGAATTTTTTTCTTCTATTTTCAAAGTTTTTATAAAAAATAAATTTTTCAAAAATTCTGACGAATTCCAAACAAGGGCTAAGTACAAAAATATTGAGCAAATGCGCTCGCGATTTTTCATCCATTCCATAAATATTAATCTGTAATGATGTGGAAGAAAATTTGAATTTTGACTTGAAATTTATGACGTTTAACGACTCTTTTTTTCCAGCTTTAGTCGTAATTTTGTTTTTATGAGAATTTATTATTTACATTAATAATGCGATTAATGATGTAGTTTGTTATTGTTTTTTGCTACTTTTGTTATTAAGTTTGTGATCAAAAAAGGGACAGAAATGTCAACAGATTGATGATAGATCTCTGATGATGAAGATGCTTGCGTGATTTTAAATTGAACAGTAAAGGATAGAAAGGACTCCAATGCCTATTTAAGATGGAATTTTAATGAGAAAAGATCTGAACCGACTTGATATGAGTAGCTGGACCTCATATCCACTTATCTTAATTACTAACCCTAGCAATTTATTTTCAAAACTTTATAATTTCGCAACAGTTTATTTTCAAATTAAAAAATTCATTTCTAACATAAATAAATCTCAGTTGATGACCTCGAGGCGATCTGGTCATGAGCCTTCTATATTGATAAGATGTAATCATAATTATGACATAAACTTGAATAAATCTTTTAATTTTCTGGTATTTGGGGCATGAACCAAGCAAATTATTGCATTAATATAATCAGTAGTCTTGTGTCTGTTTTACTTACTAGAGTCGTTTAGTAATTGTTCTATAGATTCATCTTTAAATCAATTATCAACTGCTTGAAAAATTACAAACTTATCGTCTGCTGATTCATCTGTGATTAACTGGAACTGAATTCAAGAACTAAAATGACATCAAAAAACAAAGTGCGGCAAAACATATTTTTTCTCATTTTTGTGTCCATCATAATCGACAAATCCTGTGGATTCTTTAAGCATGCTGAACTGCATTACAGAAAGCATCATCGAGTAATAACAAATGAGACAAAGCAATACCTTCAGTTCACTTACGAAGACAAAAATGACGATGGCCCATCACATTGGCCAAGTTCTTGCAATTCTGGACATAACCAAAGTCCAATCGCTTATGACTTAGTTCCTCTACTTGCTGCTAGCCATCAACATCCATTAAAACTCATCGGTGCCTACAACACTCGACCAAAGCAAGTTCATGTAATTAACAGTGGACATGGTGCGACTTTTTCGTTTGTTTATCAGAATAATGCAGTTCCACAAATCACAGGTGGTCCACTTCATGATGATATTTATAATTTTGCCAGTTTCCACTTCCATTATCCATGTGAACATCGAACATTGAAGTACAGAAACAGATGCAACCTTGAACTTCATTTCGTTCATTTTAATTCAAAATATCAAACAATTGAGAACTCGATTGACAAGTCTGATGGATTGGCAGTAATAGCTGTACTGTTTGAAGAAACTGAGTGGGGACAGCCACTAAAATCACTTCCGTTCTTGCCAATGCTTCATCATATTTATGAACCTGATACTGATTATAGTGAAATTTATCATGTATTTTCATATGCTGATGCTCTAGGCTTTAGGACGGTGCCTAAAATTGTGTCATATAAAGGTTCATTGACTACTCCTGGTTGCGGTAAGTTTGATATTTAAAGATGTATCTTATTGTTCACAGATAATGTCGATAAAACTTTTTTGTTCATCCATAGCTGAGTCAGTCACTTGGATTGTCGTTGATCATTTATTTTTGATTTTGGAAAATGATATGGATAAAATTTATAAAGTCCGTGATCATGAAGGATTGAGAATCAAGAGAAATAACAGACCAATTCAACCTATCAATGGGAGAAAAGTTTACGTTTATAATGATTTATAGAAAAATTAAGTTTTTAAAAAAAATAAACTTTAGCATTCAGACCCTAAAGATTCATAGCTGTGCGTTGTATGCGTTTCAAGGCTAATGGTAATTTAACGAGAGAGGGGGTTCACCAGATTTCTCGCTCAAACCTTGAGGTACAATTTAAAGTGGGATCCGAACCACTACTTTGATGACATTTCTGTCTGTAGACTACAAAGGAAGGCTGTGAGCCTCATTTCCAGTACATATGATACGAAAAAGGAAGTGAAAATTTTTCTATGCGGAGTCTCGAACCCATGATCGCTATGTCAGGATTGCAATAAGGAGGTATCGAATTACTAAACCATTCTGCCACCAAGCCAATTCAGCTCACTCATTTGTTTTACACATATGTTTAATATTTGGCGGAACAACTCAAGCTGAATAAATTTAAAACATTCAGATTTGGTTTAATTTGGTTATTAACAGTGCCATACAAAGGGGTTGTCAATCAAGATATAACACAACTAATTTCACTGGTTACCATAGAAATGTACATCTACGAATGTGGTTTTAAATTAATCCATAAGTACCGTTTATCCCTGTGTTGCCACTGTTTTAATAGTTTTTTAACTTAATTAGTGACACTTATTAAAAATATATTGCCTATAAAGCAAGTGAAAATTTCAAAGCTAGTATTAATCACAGTTAATGTCAAAACTATGTTTAAGCTTGTTTTATTAATTTTTAACAGTTTGTATATGTAAGAAGAAGAATAAAAACTCACTAAAGTGATTCAAAATTTGGGGATAGTTGACTTGTTACGTTACGAAATTAAATATTTTTGAGAACCCCCCTTTACGACTACATTTGTATGGAAAAATAAATTACTAAATCCGAGACACTTCCCTCTTTCCATGAAAAGCGAACGTAACTAGTGAATGACCCCTTTAGGTAGCAAATATTATAAGCGTGCCTCCAAATGTATCAGAGTTATTAACATCTTAAAGAAAGTAAAAGTTTACAATTTTTAAGTATAAATATACCAAACTAATGCGTGAATTTAAATAGTGTAAATTTGTCAGCTGTGTTAATTGGTAATTTATCTTCAATTCCTTATTTTATTAAATTTGAAGAAGTGAACATGAATTTGCAAGTCTTATTTTCAATTTTTCTACTTTCAATTATATGCGAAATTAATTCCAAACCATTTGAAAGACATCCAGAACTTCATTATCGAAAACATCATCGAAATGTTACAACTGAAACAAAATTATTCCTTCATTTTACTTATGAGGATTGGGCTGAGGATGGTCCATCAAATTGGCCTGGAACTTGTAATTCAGGTTATCACCAAAGTCCTATAGTTTATGATTTAGTTCAACCGATAGCTAAGAATGAAATTGATAGTTTGAGATTGACTGGTGCTTATGACACATTTCCTAAGGAAGTTCATGCTATGAATAGTGGGCATGGTGCAACATTCTCATTTGTCTATGAAGATGATGACGTACCTCAAATAACAGGAGGTCCACTCCATGATGAGGTTTACAACTTTGCAAGTTTTCACTTCCACTATCCGTGCGAGCATTTAGCAATCAAATATAAAGACAGATGCAAACTTGAATTTCATTTCGTTCATTTTAATTCAAAATATCTTACAATTCAAAATGCAACCAACAAACCTGACGGAATAGCAGTAATAGCTGTGCTGTATGAAGAAGTTCAACTAGGAAGTTCACAATGGCTTCCATTTCTGCCAATTATTCATCATGTTTATGAGCCTGACACAGATTACACAGAAACAAAACTTAAATTCACATATGCTGATGCTATTGGTTTTAGGAAAGTGCCCACATTTGTCTCATATAAAGGATCATTGACGACACCAGCTTGCAGTAAGTAGCCATAAAATTAAAAAAAATCTAAAATAATACTAATTTAAAAATTAATCACACAGCTGAGTCAGTTACATGGATTGTCGTGGATCAATTGTTTTTAGTAGCACAATTTGACATAGAAAAGCTGCAGAAAGTATGCGACCATGACGGACTTAGGATCAAGAGAAATAATAGACCAATCCAACCAATAAATGGAAGAAAAGTTTACGCTTACAATGTAAAGATTTAAAATCAATTTAAAATAGCTACTAAGAAGTACTGCTAGCTGTTACCCCATTAAGTTATGCAATTCGAGATCCACAACTTTTTTTGCGATGCTAATTCTTTATCAATAATAAAAACCGGTCGATGAAATTTCCATTAAGTCTTAATTATAAATTTACGCATCTCAAATCTATTATTACTTGGGTTTTCCTTGTCTGTCAATTGATTTTGCTTTGTGCTCTCGCTGACTGTTGGTTTTCTTCTGAATAATTAATTGAGCGTAACATGTGGTAGGGTTCGTTCACTAATGACGTCGAACCTTTAGGGCGGGAGTAAGGTCAAAAAATTTGTGACACATTGTGACATGGGAGGGAGGGGGGTCCAGAAATTTGTGACATCCAATTTTTTACGTCACATGGGGGTATTGACATCTGTGAAAGTTTTGTGACAGAGTGGGGGGGGGGTAAAAATTTGATTTTTTGATGGACGTCATAAGTGAACGTCCCCTTATGACAATTGGAACTTGCTCATCATTTTTTCAGCAAATCTAATGTTTGTCTTATTTTTAATGAGATAAAATAATAAAGTTCAATCCTAATGACTAGCGCCTAGTGCCAATCTTACACTTTCCTCCTTTGAATTAAAACTAGAATTAAATCTCTAACTTACAAGTAAGATGAGCGCTATTTCTCGTATTGAGAGAATTGTTTGAATAGCTAAGCATCGCTGAATCTCAGCAGCAGCCAAGAAAAAAAATCACATTTAGTCATATTAGTATTGAAAGTGAAAATGATTCGATCAGTCGCAAAAAGATTAGCTTTAACTTACTTAATTATCTGTATTGAAATTAATGCACAAACAATCATAAACAGATTTAATCATTATGGTGAGTTACATTATCGGAAAGAACATCGAGTGATTACAAATGAGTCGCAGCCTTTCCTTGAATTTACATACGACGATTATAGTCCCACTGGTCCTTCATCATGGCCTGGTGATTGTAATTTTGGTTATCGACAGAGTCCAATTATTTATGATCAAGTTGATGCAATTAGTGCTTTGGAAAGAGAACCACTAATAATGACTGGTGCTTACAATGTATTACCAACTGAAGTGCATGTGATAAATAATGGACATGGTGCCACATACTCATTTGTATTTGAAGACAATGCTGTACCACAAATTACAGGAGGTCCATTGAATAGACAAGTTTACAACTTTGCAAGCTTCCACTTTCACTTTCCATGCGAGCATTTGCCTCAAAAACATAAAAATAAATGCCAACTTGAACTTCATTTTGTGCATTACAATTCAAGATATAATTCAGTGGAGGAAGCAACAAATAAACTAGACGGCTTAGCTGTTGTTGGATTGCTATATGAGGAAGCTAATCATGATGCAAATATCAAATTTCCATACCTACAAATGCTGCAACACGTTTATCAACCAGACACTGATTACACTGAACGAAATAACGTGTTTACGTACGCCGATGCACTTGGATTTACGGAATTTCCATTATTTGTTTCGTATCATGGAGGATTGACTACGCCTGAGTGCTGTAAGTAGAATTTGAAGAAACTTGATGATTTCTTGACAAAATAAGGGGGCGGGGAAAGGAAAAGGGGGGGGGGGGGGGGGGAGAGGGGGGGGGGGAGAAGAGAGAGGAAGGGAAGGGGGAGAGGGAAAGGACAGTATTAAGCCTTGATCAATAGGGTTTATTAATTTTATTTTCTTCTTTTAGCCGAATCTGTCTCATGGATTGTTGTTGACAACCTTTTTCCAGTTTCTCAGCGTAACTTAGAGAAATTCTACAAAATTCATGACAGCAAAGGAGAAAGAATCAAACGCAATAATCGTCCAATTCAGCCATTAAATGACAGACTTATTCATATGTATAATGACATCAAATGGATTTGGAATTGAAATTATCGCAGCTGTAATTAATTATTTAATTGTCAAAAATTGCAAAATATTAAAATGTTTGATTCACAACTGCTCTAAATATTTTATTCCCTACCTTATAAATTCCAAAAGCTATTAACCGAGTCCTAATAAACTCAATACATTTGAAAAACAAATTCGTCATCCAAAACACTTGTTCGCATTTTTTTATTGTTCAAGTTTCTTTCTTTATGAATGGCAATGAATATAAAATGATGTTGATTTTTCTACAATTTCTTATACAATTACTCAAACTCTGCTTATCAATATCTTTAAATTTATTTTTCTATAAAAAGTTTTTCGAAAACGCCGTTCAGTATTAAAACAGAGATGAATCTTAAAGCAATTATCTTACTTATTATAATGAAAAAAATAATAAATTCATTGCCATGGCCAGAAGAGGAAGAAGAACCCAAAGTTGAAGAAGAAACTACATCAGTTCCGACAACATTAGTGCCTGAAACATCATCAATTATATCAACAACAGTCAAACCTTCTCAAAATTATTCATATAATGATAAACTAGATAATGGACCATCAAACTGGACTGGATTATGTGCAACAGGACTAAGACAGAGTCCGATAGCTTATGATCAAGCAAAATATGAGAAGAAGGTGGTTAGACCAACAATTATTATGTCTGGTGCATACCAAAAGAGACCTGACAAAGTGCGGTTATTCAATAATGGACAAGGTATTGCAGTTTCCTTCATATTTTCTAATGATTCAATTCCAAAAATCACTGGAGGTCCACTTGGGAATGAAACTTATGTTTTTGATAGTTTTCATTATCATACGCCATGTGAGCATCAATTCGTGCTGAATTCACAAGCTTGTGTTTTAGAGCTTCATATGGTGCATTTTAATGAGAAGTATGAGACATTTGAAAATTCAACAGACAAAGATGACGGACTTGCTGTTGTAGGGATTTTATATATTTCAACATACACAGAAACTTTACAAATCTTGCCATTTGTGCCGATGTTGAAGAATATTATTGAGCCGAATTCTGAATATTTTGAGGATGATCCAGAAAAAGTATTTTCCTACTTTGATGTAGTTCATATGATGTCAGTGCCTAGGGTTGTGTCTTATAAAGGATCAATGACGTTTCCAAACTGTTGTAAGTAAAATTTTGAATTTTTAATTAAAGAGTAGGTTTTATGGTTGGTAGCTGGAGTTGCCTGAGTATCGGGCATTGAGGCATAGTGAGTATAGGCATTGATCATTGACTGTGTAACCAAAGTTCGATTCTTATGAAAAATGAAAAAATTCTCATTTTACAAATTAATAAAGTTTCTTTTATTTTTTAGCGGAAGGAGTGACATGGGTCATCCTAGCATCACCAAATCTAGTCCTAGAATCTGACATGAGACAAATTAGAGAAATTAAAGATGTAGATGGAAATAGAATTTTGCGAAACAATCGACCGACTCAGCCACTGAATGGAAGAAAGGTTTACCTTTATGCAGCTTTTTAAGCATACTTATCATCTTGTAGGAAGTCTCAACAAGGTCAGAATGTAGTGTGTTTGTGGCAACATGTATTTAAATATTATTGTTATTGTGAGTAACTTGATCAATATTGATTCAGTTTGTGTTTTATTTCAATAAGTGAATGACAGAACTTTGAGAAATGTGTAAAAAAGTAATGACTTATTAAAATCGATTAAATATAATCACCTGTAACTATTTTGTTTATTTAATGAATGAATTGACTTGAAAGGTGTGCTTAGCAGGCGCGTACCCAGGAGGTTCTTGTCCCCCCCTTAAAACGTTTTAAGAAGGGGACAAGACCCTCCTTGCTAGGCGCCTGGTGCTTAGAGATGTGTTTTTTGCTGTCTGAATGAAAAATTCAACTTTTCTAATCCTTAAAAATTCCCTCAAACTTAATTCCACAAAAAAACCTCTAATCAAAACAATATCCATAAAAAAGAACCATTAAGATCAGTAACAATGCCATTAAAGGCCGTAAATTACCATGTCCACTTTTGAACTTCAGTGTCAGAACGACAAGAGGAAATTCCCAAAAGGAAATTGAATATGAAAAAGGAAAAAAAGTGCTGATGACTTCAGTTGTTGATTCCAATGCAATCCAAAACCATTAACAGTTACATAAACTATCACTTTACAAGCTATAGTTGGGAATGATATTGACATAAATGTATTCCCGATTACAGAAAAAGAAGAAGAGGAAGTGACTAAATGTGATGTTCGGTTTACATGAAAAAAATTAAGCTAAATGTCTGTCATAAAATTTTATTAACTCTTCAAAATAAATTCTTCTTCCTTCTTTGTGGTAATTTTCACCTTATTCCTGAAATTTAATCGATAATTCGATATGTGAATGTTACTCGAGGGTGGTTGCAGGAGGGATGCATGGGAAAAATTATTGTCAAAGTGTCAAATGTTGAGTTTCAATTTGGATTACAAGATGAGCGGATTGCTTTAGATATTGTGACAGTTTTGCGGGAATTATTGTGAAAAAAATTTAAAATTTAATTTTTTTTGTATTTTTGAGGATGTACCCTCCTTAGTGACGGTAAGTTTAAAAATTTAATTTTTTCAATTTTGAAGAATCAAATTTAAGACATTTAATCGGATATCGACAGCGAAAAGGGATTATCATGTTCTTTATGACAATGACAACAGCGAATCTTCTGATTTTCTTTTTAAAAAAAAATTTGAGTTTTTTCATGCTGAAAAGCCGATTATTTTGTAGAAAATAAGCCTCGAGTTGTAATTTCAAATTTTTTTTAAAAAGAAGTGTGTAAGTAAATTGCGTAAATTGACAATTATTTTGGATTGTAAAATTTGTAGAAGCTTAGAAAGAGTGTAAAAAAATTATCTTTAGCTGTTCAGACCATAAGATCCATAGCTGCACATTATATTCGTTACAATAGTAATGATAGTTTAACGTTAGAGTGTTCCTTAAACCTACAGTTTATGGTGGATTCCAAGCCACTCTTTTGATAAAATGTCTGTCTGTAGCCTACAAAGGAACGTTTTGAGTCTCATTTCCAGAACATATGTTTCGAAAAAAGACCCAAGAACTCTTGGAAGGGGTGTTGACAAAAACAGCATTTGGTATGGATGATTGGCAAACGGTACCCATTGATAGAGCCAGCTTCAGGCGTCATCTAAGGAACGCCATGGGTAACAATTGATCTGTACGGCCAGCGAAGTACAAAGTAAGTAAGAGTCTCGAACTCATGATCGCTGTGTCGATATTTTAATATTTAAGTACCGAAGTACTAAACCATTCCGCCACCCAGCTACTTTAGCTCGACTTAAAAAGAGTGCATTGTATTAAGATCAGAAAAGCAACAAACATCAGCAACAAGGACATATAATAAGGTCGGCTTCTACTAGGATTCAAACACTCGTCACAAAAGGATAGAATTCAAACTTCAACCACTCAAGGATGTAGGTCAAAACTTCGCACTAGCATATAAACCTTTGCATCACTAATGGAGCCCCCGATTAAATAACAGAAAATAAACTATAACAAAAAAAATTAAATCAACTTTCACACACTAAAAAATTCCCGTAGAAAGGGGTTAAAAACTGGTATTAAATCAAGAACGAAAAAGAAAATCTAAATTGATCATACTTAATACACATCCCAACTCCCATTCTAATCAATAAAAATAAATAAACATTTTCATCTTAAAGAGTCCAGTAGGACAATAAAAATATATCATTCTGACTCTATATTTCATTTTTTCCTATTATTGTCTTTATTTACTTACAACTCGTTTGTCCTTTAGCACTAGTTATAGTAATAGTAATAATAGTGATATACTGGCTACAACAACAGCAATAATAATAAATAAAAATTGTGACAAAAAGGAAAGAAAAACATTCCCACAATTTCAATAGAGACAAAAAAGGATAAAAATCCACAGCATAATGCCGAGAAAATATGAATCAACATCTCATAATCGCATGCTACATCCTTTCACTTGAAATCAATTCCATTCAATCGTTACATAACAAACAATTTTTTTTTACTTTTATTTTTGTATGCCGCTGGGCATTTGGTGATTTCCGCAAAATTAGATGTCCTTTTTTTGTTCAACCCCTCAAACATGAAACTACCAGAAATTCTCTTTTTTACATTTTGCAACCCCATTTTTTCAATAAATCAAGCGCTTTTTTAAAATTTATGAATCTTTAACGTGCGTTCTCTTTCCGTGTATGTACACTGCACAGTTCTTGTGTATATTTTTGTGCTCATATGAAATAAAGAAATATTTTATTAAAATTAAATAAAAGACGAATACGATCGGAATAGGGAAAGTTAAAGTAATGTGACCAAAAGGTTTTTTTATTCATTTAGTGCTGATTTTGATGGAAGAAATGGGATGTTTTGGCTATATTTTGGTGTGATGGCTATGAAATGTTGTTTGGTCTTTTTAGATTATGATCCTGGCAGTATGCCGTTAATAGATGCAATAAAATGCATTTAAAATGAAAAAAATGCCAGCTTAATGCCAGAAGCAAAGCTAAGCTAAGTTTTCTTTTATTTGACCACCTTCTTCGTCTTTGGCTACTCCCAAGCCAGGATCCCCTAGATCTTAAGCCCTTCGGTATCAAGCCAGGATCACTTTAGAACTTGCAATAAGCTGTTCATCTGCACATTAGATGAAGATAGTCAGCTTAAATTATAAGTAAGCAATCTCAATAGGCACATAGCCAGGAAGGAAATGGGTGAAGAATCCCCCTGCATTAGCAAAAATTTCTTCATTTTTGTAGGGTTTTTTGAAAAAATCTTGAACCTAACCCCCCCCCCCCCCCCCCCCTCAACTTTCCATACAAATTTGTTTTGTTCCACCTCTTTAAATTCCTTGCTACGCCCCTGAATCTCAATGACCCGCTTGGACAGTTTCATTTAATGCGTTTTATAAGCCCTACAATCCCTTCTTCACCTCCTTACTTCCAATTTTTTTAAAAACACAAATAAACAAAATTTTCTTACCAAAAAAAGTACAAAATTTATGGAAATTGAAAATATGACATTTTTTCCTTTACATAATTCCTGCCTCGATTATGCTGTTCCTTTCTACATTCTCTCTACTTCAACTGCTCTTTTACTAACTTCATATTACACATAAATTGGCCGAACCGAAAATAATATTTACAAGGGTTAACATTAATGGAATATGACAATCTCCTTTTTGCGTGTTTGTACGATGCTCGTTATTGCGACAGTCGTGAATCAAAAGAGAAGAATAAATAACATTATTATCTGTATGGTTTTTCAATTCAATAATTTTTTTTATTTTTTATATTTTTTAAAATTTATTTCGCAAATCCTTTTATCCTTAATGTACATTATTAGAGTCACGGGACATGGACAGAATGTGTAAGATGCAATAGATTGTCATCGTATGTCATCGATGAAATGGAAAAAAATTGGAAAATATGAAAAATAAAAAAGATTGATGAAGTAAAGATATTGGCTTGTGGATGATGAAAGAGATGCGGTACGGGGATTGAGGGAATTGAGTTTAAAATGGAATTTTTTGGAACGGGGTGAGTTTGGACTTTTTTGTGACATATTTTGCAGGAAATTAGAGTTTTTAATTTTTGAATTTTGCGGTTGTTCTTCATACACAGTTGCAGCTTGTCTAAGAGTGCTGCAGGGACAACTTTTGGCGCCAAAACCTACTAAGTCAACTCAGCATCTACAATTTCTAATATATCCCATTAATTCCTCATTAGCAAATGCCTTTTATGACCTATTTACCTTCCAACACAATCATTCCACCCTACAAACACACAATTCCTCGCAAAATTTCCCAAATCGTCCATAATTACTGTCCAAACAGTCCGAACAATAGGAAATTTCAATCACAGTTGGACCTTAATCACTAAAATTGTTTCATTTTCTTTCAATTTACAGAAAAAAATGTTCTAAATTAAAATTGCCGCAAGGCACATCTCCTCAAGAAATAGATGATGAATTTAATCGTAAATGATGTAGTTCTTTACACAAATTTGGACACACAATGGAATTGAAAAGGACTGTTAAATTAATGTACTGTGTCCACTTGTTTATATTTATACTCTTCCACTACATTTCAATTTATTTTCTCTTTATGTGTCTTGCTGTTTTAATTCTACAGCAGAAAAAATAAATAAAATCAGGGGATGATGAATTCCTGCTGTGAATTTTGATGCCAAAACGTGTGTGAGTGAGTCTATGATGCTTCGAGTTCATCACTTTCGTTTTCAAATCTACACTTAATGGTCATCATCAAGTCATTGTTGTTGCATATTTTGGACTTTTTCGATGACAATTTCTAAGATTTTGAGGTTATTTGATGTTGGATTGTCTCACTGACTCAGTTGAAAAAGATAATAAGGTTAAACATAGCTTTGATCTAGCATAAGATCGACGCGTCATGAATTCAAAGCAGTAAAGCTTCGCGTTAAATAAAATTGAAGCGACTCTTTATAAAATTTGCAAAATTTAGAAAATTACAAAAAACTCAGAAAATTGAAGCAAAGCTTTATGAAAAACCAAAAAAAAATAAAGCAACGCTTTATGAAAACCCGAAAAATAAAGCAACGCTTTATGAAAACCCAAAAAATAAAGCAACGCTTTATGAAAACCCGAAAAATAAAGCAACGCTTTATGAAAACCAAAAAAATAAAGCAACGACTCAAAAAACTTCC